TTTTCTCCATATAATGGACTTCAATGGGAACCAAACGGTTCAAGGTCCAAATGAGAGTTTCAGTGCAGCTTCAAAGGGCTTTAAACGACACCAGACGATGAATTAGGGTCTTATCAAGCGAAACAATCGCTCATTTAATAAATAAATATCAAAGTTTAAGTTTTATAAGATCAAATGCTCGCCTGTGATGCGCGTTCGTGACTCTCCTGTTTGAACTCGTTCATCAAAATGAACAAATCTTTTCCAGAGTCAACTTTGCACTTTGAGATCTGTTCGCAAATGAAAAGTGCTTTATAAATTAAAGGTATTATTATTATTATTATTATTAACTCGTTCATTTCGTTCGTTGAATGAACCAAATGACACGAATAAAGATTTGTTCATTTTGATGAACAGGAGAGTCACAAACATGCATCACAGAACAGAGCAAGGCGACCATTTGAGCTTCTAAAACAAACTTTTTTGTTTTGTTTTTTTAAATGAGCGATTGTTTCGCTTGATAAGATCCTTATTCATCGTCTGGAATCGTTTAAAGCCCTTTGAACAGTTTGCAGTTTGCACTGAAACTCTCATTTTGACCTTGAACCATTTGGTTCCCATTTGGTCCCCACAAAAATCCTGGAATGTTTTCATCAAAAACCTTAATTTCTTTTCAACTTAAGAAAGAATGACATGGACATCTTGGAGGACATGGGGGTGAGTAAACTATCAGCAAAAGTTTCTTTTAAAGGGAAATGAGGAGCTTTTGCACAGGCAAGCACCACTCTTTTCCTCCAATAAATATAGTTTCAGTCTGATATTCCAGTCAAACCAAAATTACACATTCAGGACATGATTTTAGAGATGTGAAACTGTCTTTTTGTAGATAGGTCATCATAATGTAGTACAGCACCATGGAGACTAAACATGTGACGTGTGCCACACTCACAAAGTTGACAGATTAGTCAGATGAGTCGGATTGTGTGGCTTGGTGAGGTTACTACAGGCCGTCTCTGCGTACACTTCTGCATGAACTATAGTAACCTCTGATCAAGCAGTCTGATGGCTACCTCCACCCTGTGTGTTTAAGATACGAGATTTGTAACAGCATTTAAAGCGCTGTGGGTTTTAATGTGTCCTTTTACCCTGATAACGGATCACACGTCTTTCAGGTCGCATTTTATTAACAAAACTTAGTTGTGTCACACAGCAGTCGTGAGCACACTGGCGGCTGACTCAGTTGTGCTGACTGGAGACGGGTGTCATTGGGTGACCTGCAGTGACTCCTAGATAGGGATGTTTGTCTGAGATGTTTACACAGAACTTAAAATATTAAGCTTTGGTGCCAGTTGGCTATGAACATGAATGATATTGCAAATCATGCAGCTTGTTGAGAAGAGTTGGGCCACTACTTTTCTACACGATGTGATTTTTATTTTTATTTTAAAATGCAATTTATTTCTGCTGGTGGCAAAGCAAAATTTTCATCAGCCAATTCTTCAGGCTTCTTCAGTCAAACATAATAACCATTCTAAAATGTAGATTTCTGTTCAAGAAACATATCTGGGTAAGCAATATTTCAAAAACACAGTTGGACATGTTGATATCTGAAATCAAACCAAACACACCCATCTCCTCATCCGCCTCAAGAATAGTGGTGGAAATCTCGAACCCCCGAAATTGTGGAGAACATTCGACCATTTTATGTAATATTTTCGGTAGAGCCAGACCGATATATCGGTCGATATTAGGCATTTTCCAAAATATCGGTATCGGCAGTTATGATGGCCGATAAATGAATATTTCAAAAATAAAATAAAAACGGACGAAACACGCTTCAATCATCTGTCCTTGGCCAGTTATATTGAAAATGTATGTTTTAAAATTTGCAGAATGATGTTATCTATTGCTAAGTTATGGGTCATCATAGACTAGCTAACCACAAAGCTAGCTAATGCCACTATCATCAGTGGAAGACCGCTAACGTTAACATTAATGAGCTTGGAAACCACAATGAACTTTTTCTGCCTAAATAAAGTAATGATTACTGTATTTATAACTCGCATATCTCTAGTTACAGTCCCTGCATTGTAAAATTTAAGTTATACTTGCGCGATACTGAACATTTAAACGTATGTATCTTGTGCAGAAAAGTTAGCTTTTCTTTTAAACGTGTGTGAAATCCAACAGTATATAAAATATATATATATATACATCAGCCGATATATCGGAATATCGGATTTTAAAACCTAAAAATATTTGTATCGTATCGGCCTTCAAAATCCTTTATCGGTCGGGCTTTAATTTTCGGGAATGGCGATGGCAAGAAAACTCATGACATCCCTTATGACCTTCACTTATCCGTTCAAAAGGCCTTCCCTAAATCCAACCAGACAGTAAAGTGAGCTTTGGTTATCTATTTTAGTCAATAGGTCAAAGCACCAGAGAGGTCGATTCTCAAGTTTCTCATGGGATTTCATACACTAATAGAACATACCGACACGTTTGCTGTAAATCATTACTATTGGTATCAATATTTATTTCAAATCCATGTTAAATCTCATGTTCTATCACTAGAGACCTGGATTTTAGACAGCAGAAAAGTGGATACCCAGAGTATCCTGTAGTTTGCAACATCTGATTGGACGTTTGATTTAGGGATTTGAGAAAGTGGTCATTTCCTATTCAAGGTTATTTTGGATCCAACTGAATGTTTTATACAGTTTTATTGACATTACAACCCATCTTTTATAGTTCTCAAAAGATGAAATTTGTAAGTTTATTCCAGGAACACCAATCAACAACAGTGATAAACCAACCTTGAGAGATTCTTGCAAGCTGGCGAGTTTTTAAATACAGCAATATGCTGGTGCATCAAAAAAAAAAAATTATAACAGCAATACAAGTGAAGTATTTGCATGACCTTGTGTGGTAGAATCAGGTTCTTCCCTTCTTTGCCCTGCATGTAAGGCTCAAATACCTTATCATAACACTGTTATTTTTAAAATTATTTAACTATTGTATTTATTAATAGTTTGAATGAGGTTTTATTCTTATATTTTCATTTGTTGTTTTATCGGTAATATGTACTTCAGTCATTTTTATTAGTTTTTACGTAGTTTTTTATTTCTATTTGGCTTTAATTTATTTGTATTAAATTCTTTCAATTGCTTTATTTAGGTTTTTATCTAAAATTTGTATTTTATTTCAATTACCGAAAACATTTTAAAGGGGTTTTGACATGACAAATCAAATCCTTGTTAAAAAAACCTTCATCTTTTGAAATGAGCTATTACCATACCATTAAAACATCCAGCAAGTTTCATAGCTTAAAACGTCCTTGCTATAGACAAAGCGTTTATTTAATCAAACTCCAAAAACAGCTCGTTTGGATATTGTGATTTGTGACGTCACAAAGGCAAATACATTTGCATATGCAAGACAATAGTTTTATCGTTGCACTGGAGTTGAGTCACCTAATGACTGACACTCGTTGCGTCTCATCAAAAGCAAATATAACCCATTACAATTACTGATGCCGTCTACACTGGATGGATACAGTATGCCTGTGCTTGAAAAGCGTAAAATGAAACGTTTGCTGTTTAAACATCTTGTTTGCTCATTTCTGTAGAGATCTCAGAAGGATACTAGCATCAGGAGTGAGTGGATGGTTTATTTTCAATGCCATTCTGGATCGGGACGGAAAGCATGTGTATGTTCTGAGAATTTTTCCTGCAAATTGTTTTGTAAACGAGGCACAGAGTAATGGAGAGTTTGCAAAGTACTTTTGCTGACAGATGAAGCAGTCCGCTGTAGAGGATCTGACAGCAGCTGTCACAAACGGTCAGTAAACGATTGCATAATGCTATGTCTGTAAATTATGCTTTTATAGGGATCATTTTTTTTAAAACTCAAGTAGAATTAGTGAGTGGATTAACCAATCATAACAGTGGCCATTTAATGACTTGAGGTTTAAAGAAGACACCGTATTTAAAGTCCCCTCCCTCAAGGAACTTATTAAAATTGAATGTCGTGACCCCTTTAATAGTTTTAGTTAATGATATCAAAAAATAACTGATAGTTGTTTATGTAGTCAAGAAGCACATACGTTTTACATAAGTTACTCATATTTAGATTTTTTTTTTTTGTTTAAAAAGAAAATGAACAAACATTAACAATCAGAACTAATTATTTAAATGTATTAATGAAACAATGCAAAATCTAAATCTTTCAAAATGCATTTTGAGCCTCTTGGTTGAGAATCACTGCTGTATAGGACGGTTGCATTATGCATTGCTGTAATAGCGTACAGCTTTCAGCACTGATGTAATTCATAACACTAACAGTATACTCCCTGCCAATACTACTACTATTTCAAACCTCTTCAACACACACACACACACACTAAAGATTATATAACAACCCTCCCAGAGTCATGACAAGAATGAGGGCATGTACCTCAGCAACACCCTGTGAATTAGCCTGCCCTACAGTATGTGTGTGTGCATGCCATGGACCATAAAACAACCAACAGAACAATATTTATCAGGAATTGATAAAACATGGGCTGTGCTGAAGCCTATATCCACTACACTACAGCAATTTCTAATCGGGAAATCCCTAGTTAAAAGTTTTAGACTATTCACCTGTACAGGTCCAAATGTCCAAATACCTTTACAAAGAACTACTGTGATGCTACCGGGGAGTGGAGATGGTATCAGATAATAATACCATGGTCCTTTAATATGTAACTGTACTGAATGATTACCATACTCTATCAATTTGTTTGCATGGTATTCAATGGTCCTTCCAAAAAAAAAAAACATGTTCAAAACAGACTGTGCATGTCTGAAACCAAGAGTGTAATCCAAGGTAGGCCTATTTGGATGGTAGCCTACACATCTAAAAACATGGTATTACCAGGGAACATGGTACAAACAAATTGTAGGCTACTTCAAAGAATACTAGGGTAATGTCAAAAATTATGGTATTACTTGTCTAAAAAAAAGGTATTTACTCACTCATTTTCTAGTAGGGTCATACAGACGACCTCTTTGACCCCAGGGTTGTTGGCCTTCTCACTGGAGCATCGCTGCAGGTTCCAGGTGGCCACTCGCACCACGGGCTTTCCATCGCGCGTGCCCGCTGGAGGCTCCACGCAGGGCCGGACAGATGTGACGAGTGGCGGTCCACCGAGCGGAACGTCCACCTCATCGCTGCGAACACTGAAGGACGTGGGGCTCGGGTGCGTGAACCCTCCGTTCGTGTTCGTGGAAGGAGTCCTGGACCGCTCCACGAACACCTGGAAACGGATCCGGTCCAGCAAGGATGAATTTATGTTGGCCACTTTGACCAGGTCTTCGATGCTTCTGAACGGGCCGTGCACGGAACGGAACTCTACGACGTTCTTGGCGATTTTCTCGGTGATGCCGCGGACGCTCATGAGCTGCGGCGGCGTGGCCGTGTTTATGTTCACGCCGGTGCACGGCAGGTGCTCGTGCTCTTTGCGCAGAGATGAAGGAGAGTGATTCGACGAGCTGCTCTTGCTCGACACGCAGATCTCCAGTTTGATCGCCTCTAGTTTAGTCGCACCGACTCCACTGACTAACGCCAGGTCTTCTACTTTCTTGAATCCGCCGATGCATTCCCGGTACTCCACGATGTTCTGAGCCACCCCGCGATTCACGCCCGGCAGAGTCATGAGCTCCTCCTCGGTCGCGGTGTTGATGTTCAGGCGCTCCTGGTTCACTAGTATGTGGCTGAAGTTGCATGCCGCGCTGAACTTGCGTTTGCCCTGGCAGAAATCCGTGGGGTCCTTGGGAATGGACCGGTGGCATCCGAGATTCCCACCCATGTGTCTCGGTGATTCAGTTCGGGAACTGTGAATGAAACCCGTCCGTGTGGCACATATAGCCTACTAAATTTGGATTTTTAAAGCTATACGAACAGACCTCGCTGTAATCTCTCTTATCTCTGTCAGTACTTGCAGAATTCCCCGTGTTTCCTCAGTCTCGGAGCAGAAGGAGAAACAGCGTCCATGTCAACGCGCATCCAGGCAGACTGAACTGAACTGAAGTGAACCCTAGCGCGGCGGTTTCTATGCCGTGCTGTTCGATTCGCTCTTTTGAACCTGAGCCGATTCTTTTTAATGATTCGATCGAATCATGTTAAGAAGGATTCATAATTCACTGAACTCTAAACGCCAGTGAAGTGGACACGATAACAATACTATAACGTTTTAAGATTCTAAGAAAATATGGAAGTGTAACTTAGGCTACAAACGACAGCTATAACTACACAGAGGAACTATTTTACTTGGAATTACTTTCAGAACGATTTTTCCAGCTTTTGGACGAAAACATTGACAATCAGCCAATCAGAATCCACGACAAATCTTCAGCGCTCTTTTTAATTTCCAGAATGTTATTTTTAGTTGTCGTCGAGCTTCTTGGTGTGAACTTTCTGAGAAAACTAAAGGAACCGTGTACAAGATAACATATGGTAGGGTAATTCTTGTTAAACACACACACAAATAGAGTCATATAATCAAACTGGAGCATTTATACTTGCACACACACAACAGCTTTAAAAAAAAAACACATACAGCGATAAGCGAGTACTCAACGGACCCGCTTGTTCGAACGAATCGACTCTCTAAAAAGAATCGCACTTCCCAAAGCTATTTCAAAGCACTCATCAAACCTGATGGGGGCGTTTCCTCCTGTGTTTATTATTGTTCATTGTCTGTGACTCTCCCAATATGACACTTGATAGAGACACGGAGCTATTGTGTGAACATTTTGTTCATTATTGTAGGCAGAGTAACAGGATTGTAAAATGAAGTAGACCTTCATCCATATCTGAGCTTAAATATCCATTCTAAAAGGGTTATGTTTAAATTAAATTGTCTAAAACTGAGTGAAAGATCTTGTATGACACAACTATAAGCATTTCTTTAAAACCTTGTGGCCTTTAAAACTTTTAATGTGCTTTGAGCTGTTGTCAATTCAATCAATGGCACAATTAGCACCTGATCTAAAAGCCAGTCAGATGGTTGTGATTGCAGCAAACAGAAGACAAAATCTGCCTTAAGTCAAGATTTACTGGGATGCATCTAATCACATGATAATCTAAACATAACATTTATGACAACAATTCTTTGTGCTATCAAATAATAGATATGTATTCTGTAGCACAAATTGGCTATTGTGTTTAAATCTTCCCTGCTAAACTATTTCTGGAACAAGGTGTGCTTGGGGTTAGACACACATTGGAGATCATGTGTTGAGCTCACATTTCTGCCATTCTGTGTGATCCAACACCAATTCCTCACAACTAGTACTGAGATGTGTGTTATGAAGTGTCAACACAGTGCCTTTTAGTATCAATTTAGAGCCATATTTTCTTATTGAAAACAAGCAAACCCCTTCACTCCCATTTACATGCAATTTTCATTATTCTGATTATTCACAAATACATTTCTTTAAACCACCACATATATATATATATATATATATATAATTTTCTCCAATTGGAATAGGAGAGATTTATCCAATAATCGGTGAGCGCCCTGTCCAAAAGTGCATACTGTGTAGTATGCACTACATTTGTTTTGAAAAAGTATGTACTGTATGTCTATAGGTATGTTTATATGGAGTGAATGTGTGTATTAATTTATGCATACTACATCCACAATGTTGTCACTGTCATGTGACCTAAGTAGTAGATTATCCAGGTACTTTTCACCTGCTGTTAGTCAAATACTATATATTTGGACAAACGACTCCGTTGGCAAACTGTTTTCCGCACTCTATAAACTAATCTCGGATGCAGCGTACAATCCACTGCATGGCTCTGTGTCTGCAAGCAAACATTTAACAACTAAATCCTTGTATAAACTTCCAAGTGTACTTGAGGTTCCGAGTTTGTGTGAGTTGAGTTCAGGGGGTTCAGAAACAAGTGAAAAGAATGTAACTGGTGATGTAATGATATTTCTTGGTAACAAAAGGACTAAACGTTTCCATGGTGAGAGACTACAGGTGGTGCAACCAAATTTAGACAGGCATGAATATGACATAACGGATCCTTGTGGATTCTGTTAGAGTGTTTCATAATATACGGCGTGGACTTAATATGCAAATAAAGACAGTAACTGTTAATAACACAAAGGCAACGAGTAGATCCGATTCAATGACTGATGAGTCTGCAGATTTTTCTACCAGCCAGTCATGTTGCACCGAGCCCGATGAGAATGAGGTCACCATTAAGCAGGACGTCAGGATTGGCTGAACCACAGCGGCAGGCAGAAGCCATTGTCCGTCCTGCTCAATGAGATGTCATGGTAAGGGCTTGTATTTGGCAGGAGGTGTCCAGCCTTGGCATGAAATAAAGAGCGTTGTGTTGGTTACATAAGAGTGATCAGCCAGAGGGCTTTGGAGCGCTGAGGGAACACATTAACAACCTCTAACCAGACTAACACAGCTGCCAACATGGACACAAGCTTAATCAGACATTACGGTGAACGGCCCGTATTACCACATACACTATGTGTGCAAGAGGCAAGCACGGGGCCAGTAAATGATATTTCTTCCATCGGTTTAAAATGTAATTTACTGTGGGTCATTCTCAGGACACAGTGACATTTGTCCCCAATTTACATTGCATTCAAGGTGTACATGTGATCAGTCAATGCATTTTGGGGTTCAGTGTACTTTGGCACTGTTAGCATTTGAAGAGTTCAGATGCAAAAGCCTCTAAGTGCCATTTGAAATTTTCTTCTAGAATGATCATTTTTTATCAAGCTTGTATATTTACGTTCAGTAATTTCAGTTAAATTGCAATGAGGATTACCTATTAATTGTCATTTAAGTGAAATTACTGAACTTGAATATATAAGCTTGATAAAAATGATCATTTGCATCTGAACTCTTCATTTATTAAGCAACAGGAACACAATTATTTAATTGATCTGATTGTGGGATTTTCTACTTAACCCTCTGGTGCTATTCGGTTTTGTTTTTGTTGTTGAATTTTTTTTTTAATTCATCGGAATGGTATAAAACTTGATAAAGGACCAAACGGTCCTTAAAAAATAGTCAAAAATGACCATATTGGAAACGAATGGGAGATGAATTTCATCTATGGAATTGTTTTGTACTCGGCACAAGCTAATTCTTATTGAAAGCAAATTTATATCAACCTCAAATTTGTTTGTTTAGATTTCATGGCTTTGATTTTCTCACAGTTTTAGAGTAAAATGTGTTTTGAAAAACAAATTATATTTATGTAATTTATTTCAAGGCAAAACCGAGTGATTCTGCAAGAGTTTATCCAGGTATCAATATTATCAATTATCAATATAAAAAGTTTAAATCTAAATTTAAAATAAATATTAGTTTTATGTGCAAATCTCACCTTGACTGAACCCTGGACTACATTTACATATACATAAAACGAAACATATTTTGATGGAAGCACTGTGTTTGAAAGGGTCTTTCCTTTTGTGAAATCTTTCTGGTCCATATTAATGGATTTGAACAAGTTGCAGTGACTAAACAGATCAATAGATGATTATTGATTACTCTCTGTGATTCTTGTCATTTAAGTGTGCAAATTTTAGTGTGAAAACTTGCCAAATCTCATCTCAGTTTGAGTTAGTCTTACAGGAACAGAGACTGGCACATTAATTTTACTAGGAAATCTTTACCACATGTCTTCAGACAGCACCTCTATCTTCGCATTATTTCAGCCTAAACTGCTGAGAAGTGTTCAGATGTAACACTTCTATGATGTAAAACATGAGTCAGCGCTGATTGGCTGAAACATCATCTATCTTGATGATCCGGGATAATGGTGGGCCAATCACAGATAGTCACATCACCTGATGAGCGAATCCTCCCGCCGATTACCGCTAGACTCCCATTAGTTCAAAGTTCTTCATTTGTTTGAGAATGGGGACAGAGGTCATACGTGATAGGAACGATCAAACGCACACAAATGTCAAGTACTGTATTGGAGGAGCTTCTCAGAGACCCTGGGACTGAAATCAAACCATTTCTGGGTGAAAATACTAGTACTGAGAATGTGGATTATCCCACTTATACCATGGTCATTTGCCAGCATTGACAACTGAAAGCTGTTATTGATGTTTTTGCGGCACAATATTTGACCGGAAGGGTAATAAGCTGTTTGATTACTTCAAAACCAGCAATGTTACCCTCTTGCTGAGAAATATAATGTAGCAATTCAATAGAGAACTTGGTTGCGGAGTAGCATTGATGAGTTTCTGTCCTGCCAAATGTTTCTGTGTGAACAGCACCATTGTGTGCGAATAACGTGTGTGTGTACGCTTCAATGAAAGCAGTGCATTAATATAGAACAGTGACTCCTGTGCTTATAATGGTTTTAGTGCACACCTTCCAGCCAATCAGAATCAAGTACTCATAGACCATGCTATAAACATGCTGATTACCACAGGACTCCCTCCTCAGTTTATAAAAACAAACAATAGTGAACAGGAAAGCACGTATAGGATGTCTAATTTTAAGAACAAAACATGAATGAAATCTTCGGTCCAAAACTGATCCAGTTTGAACCCTAAAGCATCCTTTTGGACTATTGTTCTATAAACTTGGTTATGCACCACCAATATCTTTGATGACAGTTTTTTTTGCCTTCATAAAAGAGCACAAGACTTTAAGAATATGCATTCTGTGTGTGCTAAGCGATTTAGAGAAACGTGTGCACTTGTTATGTCCCGCCAAGGCAAAATTAGTCAATTTCCTTTAGTTTATCTTGCTGTATTAATAAAAACTAAAAGTGAAGGGGAAAAAACAACTATAGACAAAAAAACCTCCCTAAAAAATACAAAAAATTTCTAATGAAAATATAAAAAGACACTAATTTAAAATATTAATAAAACCTACTAATACTACTGCCTTAGAGACAACGGTGAAATCTGTTTTTTCTAGGTTACAAAAACAAAACCACTTTTAAAAAATATTTTGTATTTTAAAGTAAGAGTTCACAGATTGGTTTAAGATATTTCTCCACAGGTATAATGCTGAACAATAATATATATATATTTGTGTGTATGTGTGTAAGATCATGAATGTACACATGAAGAATTCAGTGATAAGACAGCAATGGGAGTTTGACAAGGCAGACCTACAGTTATGCAGCCTCTGCTGCCCCCTTCCTGTCAAACCTGTTTCACTTTGATAGTTCACTTTGAAATTAATTTTTGATATGTTTTAGCTTACCTCAAGGGCATCCAAGATGTAGGTGTCTTTATTTCTGCAGCATTTTCAATGTTTTGGTCAAACCGTTGTTGTCTGTCAGTCCTATAATGCAGTTTAGGGGTCCACCTCAAAGAGCACAGAGAAGTCCAAATTAAACATAATTTAATGACTCGTGAATGTAAGTACACACTGATGGCCTAAGACACGAAACAAGCGGTTTGTGTGAGAAAACGAACAGTATTTATATAGTTTTTACCTCTTGTTAACAGCCGAACTGATCTGAATCAGATGTCCATTCGAGCCGAACTGAACCGTCTCCAGACGTTACACCGGAAGTGATCTCTCGCGCGTCTACGTCAAGCATTGTTTACACGGAGATTTCGGAAGTTTTACCTTTTTTACTAAACATATTTAGATTTATCGAAATCGTCTTCCATTGCGATTTCCCGTATATCTAAATATGTTATGTTTAGACCGAAAAATGTCAAAATCGAAAATACTATGGAAACAAAGACACCTACATCTTGGATGCCCTTGAGGTAAGCTAAAACATATCAAAAAATTAATTTCAAAGTGAACTCTCTTTAACAAGACACTATGTTCAAGATTTATATTATAATCTCAGCCTCTTTGACATGTTGTAAAATACCTTTCCACAATTTATTGGACTCCTCAGAAATTAAATGCACAATAATAGTTGTCAATGTCCCAGTCATTGTATTTTGATGTTTTATAACTGTTAATGCATCTTGTCGCTTACACACACCACTGAGAATGTCAAAACAAAACAACTCGTACTATTCAAATGGCATCATCACAAGTTTATTATGTGACTTTGTACAATAAAAATGAAAAAGCAAAACAAAGAGAAACAAAATTATAAAAAGGAGCTGCAGAGGTACATCAAAGGTATTGGGGGAGGCCAGCTCTGATGGAACTCTGTGCCTATATATATATATATATATATATATATATATATATATATAGAGAGAGAGAGAGAGAGAGAGAGAGAGAGAGAGAGAGAGAGAGAGAGAGAGAGAGAGAGAGAAACAACTGGCCAAGAACGCCAGCTCACTGCTTCAGGGTCAGTTTACATGACAGAGAACAGGAAACGTACCCGACGGTAGGCAACAGACACAAACTAATCACTCACATAATATGTGATGTATCCTCCTTTTTTATTAATTTTTTTACTATTATTATTTTTTTTTTAGAGTTTGCATAATATTGATAATGTCGTACAGCACTTCATAAGGAGGATCTATAGCCAAATCATGTGACGTTCATAAAGGCTCTGTAGATGACAATCTGCTACCGCTTCAAACAAACAGTGAACTGGAACATTATATGAGAAACAAATTAAACATGACAAAATAATAGTAACCGAAGGAACATTTCATGAATGGCTAAATAATTTAATTTACACAAATATTGAAAGAGCTTAACATTTCAGGAAGGGAAAGGAAGCCACAAAATAAATTGTTTAAAGGACAGAAATGCCTGAGGTAAGATTCAGCCTTTAGTTTTATTGATGTGACCAATCAATATGCAGTTGGAGAGGAAGAAGTGACCTCTGGATCTAAAAACACTGAACAAACACATGATGCAAGAGGGAAATTTGACACATTACAAATTCAAAAAAATGTTTCGTACAATATTGCATATCTCGGAGAAGTTTTTATGCTTTCATGTATTATAGGTTAAGTGTGCTTCCGCTCTCCGTTTCTGTGAGGTCTGGCAAATGAACCGATGCGTAAAAAGAGCACAATGTGTGGGCAGTGTTAAATGTTTCCAGGTCAGCAGGGAGTGCAGAGGCACACTGTCCCCACACACACACACACACAAAGAAACTAAACATGGGGGTTTAAATGTATGATTTTGGTCGACAGACTGACTGAGGGTCCAGGCTGGTATAATTGGCAACTAGAATGTGGTGATGGTCCAAGTGGTTTAAAAGATCTTTTTCTTTTTGTTCTTTTCCAAGGTCCTTTAGGAATAAAATAAGAAAAAAGAATAAGATGAGAAAAAATAAACATCGGCATTCACACTTTATAACAGTTTAGAATATCAAGGACTGCACAATATTTTTAATTAGATGCAACTGTGATGAGCGTTCGTGACTCTCCTTTTCGAACTCATTCCAAAATGAACGAATCTTTTTTCATTTTTCGTGTCATTTGGTTCATTCAACGAACGAAATGAACGAGTTGACTCTGGAAAAGATTTGTTCATTTTGATAAACGAGTCTCACAGAACAGAGCAAGGCAACCATTTGAGCTTATAAAACGTAAACTTTTTTTTTTTTTTAAATGAGCGATCGTTTCGCTTGATAAAACCCTTATTCATTGTCTGGAATCGTTTAAAGCCCTTTAAACAGTTTGCAGTTTGCACTGAAACTCTCTTTTGGACCTTAAACCGTTTGGTCCCCATTGAAGTCTATTATATGGAGAAAAATCCTGGAATGTTTTCAAACTTTTCATCAAAAACCTTAATTTCTGTTCGACTGAAGAAAGAAAGACGTGGACATCTTGCATGATATGGGGGTGAGTAAATTATCAGCAAAAGTTTTTTTTAAAAATGAACTACTCCTTTAAAGGCACTCTATGCAAGATCTGTACCTTAATATAACAGCTTCAAAGTCGTTTTGGTGGTTAACAAAGTCATAGTAGGGCGAATCATCCTGGTAGGAAAGCTTGGGGGGGACGCCGCCGGAAAAACCAGCCATGCAAGTTTGAGAGTGGCGCCTCTGACACAGCGCGTGAGAATCACGAAATGGTTTACGGCAACGACGTCACACGCATCAACAACATCATACTGTATGAAGCTACTTTCGAAACAGGGAAAGAGAATCGGACCGTGCTAGAAACCGGACAAGAGTCCACTCGGTCGGGCTTTCACTCGTTGGCGCGAGCTTAAAAGCTGCACTGGATTGTAACTGCGATGCTGACCTGGCGATCTTGTTGATGGACTTGTAAGTAAATCTCTTATTTATAAACTTGTTTGTATTTGTATACTTGTTTCTATATTGTATGTTGCTGCACTGGCTTGTGGTATGTAATTTTTTACGGTGCTGTTCATTCATCCGTTGTTGATAATAAGACCAGTTCAATAATTCTCACATGTCTATAGCTTTCGATTACCAGAGCTTTAAGCAGACTTCCTAAAAACAGTCGTTTCTCTTAGTCTTGTTGTTTTTTCCGTTATGTTTTATTGCCGAGCTTGCCACAAGAGCTAGTTTGCCAGCTGAACTCAGGTGTTGTGATGTGTATTTATCACGTATCTTTAATCCTGTGTCTGGTTCGGATTTCTTATGACGTGTGTAAGTTACTGTTATATCAAGTTTATCTGACTAACAGTGCACTTCCCGACTGTAACTTCAAATTGTGTTGATTATGAATCAATCAAATCTTGACGCTGTTGATGTTGATTCTTGTGATTACCATGAGGACATAGTCAATATCTCACTGTTCTCACATAATTATTAGGACATATATAAGCCTAGAGGTTGTAAATAATTGAACACAATTTGCTATTATGATAAATTGTAATCATGTCTAAATCATAACGTCCAATGTTATGAAATAATGCGACGTACATTTAACTTGATTGATGTCATCTGACATTTTGTAATTTTAACATTACAATCAAAAAACATGAATGAAATTATACAGTAGCCTATACACTATAGGCTATTTACTTCTGATTTTGCAGAAATCATGTAAAAACGCTATAAGCCAGCAAACGCGATAGGCAACTTTATTATTAAAAAGCAGTCTAGCACTTGACAGTAGTTCAGTAGATATGCAGTAACAGGGGAATAACGGTTATTTACGACAGTGCAAGTACACCACAGCGGCTCTAGAGGTCACTGTTTTACAAAAAAACCAGAGAGTGCATAGTGTGCCTTTAAGGTTCGGTTAAGTGTTTGTTGCTTGTAATCATACATAATTAACTGTTCTTACTATAATAAATACATGTAACGTGTAACAACAGCACAATGAAATAGTGTTACCTAATATCAATAATAATAAGCTTGACCCAATGCATTCTAGAATTTCCTTATTCATGAAGGATGCATGCATTCCTTATACTTAATGCAGCACACTAGTTTTGTAGAAATGTGTGTACCTGGAAGCGTCCAGTTTCTGCTGCTCCAGCATGCGTTGTTGGGCCTCCCAGCTGCCCTTCTCCTCCTCCAACTGACGTCTCTTCTCCTCCAGCTCCTTGTGCTGGGCCTCCAGGTTCTTCTTCATCTGTTCATGACGCCGCTGCAGCTGAATCGACCAAACAAAACAGATTTACTAAGAATCATTTATGATCTATACAGCATATGAGATAACTTCAATCAGCAATATACTACAGTTCATTCAGCCCATATCATTCTAAAAACAAATACAATATTAATGAAATTTTGTGAACAAAATGTCTTATTTTTGTCAGATCAAATAATGCTAAAATGGACTTCGATTTCATTCATTTATCATATAGGAAATGTAAAGTTAAAAACAAATCTGCATACTGTGCACACAGTATACATACTGCAGAAACAGAGTGGCTCAGAAACATATGAAGTATATTTAAGGATTTTAGGAGACAAACACAGGATTGGTTTTGTTGGGTGTGTGCAGGTGAGGTGGTACCTCTGCCTCCGAGTCTCTGAGTTTCTGGATCTTCTCCTTGACCTTCATCTCAAACACTTGCTCCATCTCCATTTCCATCTTTTTCATCTTTGTCACATGATCTCTCCTCTCCTCCTCCATCTGTGCCAGGGGGCTCCTACTTACACACACGCACGCAAAAGCAACGCACGGGCAGATGCACAAACACACATTCGTTAGACCGTTCAAACCAAAACCTTTGAGTATTACAAACAAAGGAGCAGCGGTGGAAGAGAGGACCCTGGAGGGAGAGGTTTAGGACCCAGTTGTGAGGACTGCGAGTTAGTAGGCTGAATCGTGGCTGTGTTAGTGTGAGGCCGCAAGATCAAGGAAGCCACAAAGTCACCTCAATATCAAACAATATGAGCAAATTAACACGGACCGCAAAATTACAAATAACTAGTCAAGATGATATATAGAGGACTGAAAGCCTACATACTAAGTCTAATGCGAATAAATGGAGCAAAAGGTTGCAAAAAACTATTAGAAATTCACACCGAGTTTGATACACATTAACATTATTTTGTGGAGAAAAACGTAAATAAAACAGGGTTCCAACCACTGATCTACATCGGATGACATCTATCATTATATAGATCAGTGGTTCCAACACATTTTTTATTTCAAAATTGCATACTTTTTTAGACTCAAATTTCTTAAAATCTCAGACCAAATTTGACATAAATGGTTCTTATAGCATTATTTTCAGCATTGTATTTGGTATATAGTAGGCATCTGTACATATTTTATAACAGTTTTTTTTAATCCATAGGTTTTCTAAATTTCTTTAAGCGTATACAGTAGTCAAACTAAACACTTTTTAACCTATATATATATATATATATATATATATATATATATATATATATATATACCCACACATACATACGTGGGAGCACTGTGTATAATTATTTTATATATATAAATACACACACATGCTTGTATATATTTAAGAAATATTTTCATGTATATACTGTATATAGATTTATATATAATTTATATTATATATAAATATTTTATATAATTTTTTTAGTAAATATACATGCATGTGTGTGTATTTGTATACAAAATAATTATACACAGTGCTCCCACATACATTATGTAAACACAAACTTTTATTTTGGATGTGATTAATCGTGATTAATCATTTGACAGCGAACAATACCTGTTCTTGTCTTAGGACAACTTTGATGATTTTTAACCTAATATATATATATATATATATATATATATATATATATTTTAACCTAATATATATATATATATATATATATATATATACACACACACAAATATACATATATATATATATATATATATATATATATGAAGAGTTCAGATGCAAAAGCCTCTAAATGCCATTTGAAATTTTCTTCTAGAATGATCAGTTTTTATTAAGCTTATATATTTAAGTTCAGTGATTTCACTTAAATGGCAATGACAATTAACTATTAATTGTTATTTAAGTGAAATTACTGAACTTAAATATACAAGTTTGATAAAAATCATCATTAAAGAAGAAAATTTCAAATGGCATTTAGAGGCTTTTGCATCTGAACTCTTCATATATATATATATATATATATAAAATACATCAGTTGTACATATGGTTTGATGCGGCACACTCACCAAGCAGCAAAGTACAGTCTGAATGAAGTTCAAAAGAGACTAATTTATGGTAAAAAAAAACAGTTTTACGTAATGAAAATGTGTGCCTTGAATTAATTCATTCATGTTTGACAATCACTAAATGATCACTGAACTTTTGCCTGCTTGTATAATAAATGATTTAATTACACATTTTAGAAAACTGAAAAGGGGGCAGTAGCCTTTTTTTTTTTTTTACCATACTTATCCAGACCCGGAAATTACTCAAATCTGAAATTTCTCAAATCAAATTGTTACTTTTGCTAAAATAAAATAAAAAAAATACCTTTTTACATGCACAAATTTGTACGTACAGTCTTTAGCTCCTGTCGCGCAGCATCCAAATCAGTTTACCATGACCATGTCCCGAGTTGCCCGCCCGGCTTCTTATACTAACTTAATAAATCCTTTTAATTTTGTATCAAGACTGCCAACCTAATGGAAAGCAGGATAAACCTCCTTAAATGGCTAAATAAGGGAGGACATAAAGGTACCACACTACGGGTTCCTAACACAAAGCTGGGACTGCCGACAGAAAGGAACATTGAGCAGGGTGCCCGACTCCGAATGTGAACAAACAAGGAGAAAGGAGGAAAATCGAGAGCAGAGAGGACCAGACAAATGTGAACTTGTGCTTGACACTTACATGCCTTCAACTGAGTCAGATCTAAAATAAAAAAAAAACACACACACACACACACACACTTAGCATGCTCACAGTGCATCATGTGTTAGATAAACGTTAGCAGCTGTACTTTTTTTAGCCACTCTTATTATTTGTTTAAGATGGGGACTCTGTGTGCGCGTGAGGGTGGAAGTGAATGGCCGGTTAGCGAGCGTTTAGACTGTATTTGAGGGTTAGTGACAGGCTTGTGTTGAGGGTGAACAGCTGTGGCTGTTAGGAAGCCTGGATGTGTTAATCAGAAGTGTCTTCCGCACTATTAGCATGAGTCAGTCTAGCTCTGGGGTTTACCTCCATTTTATAACCACAGACATGGCACCATGGCGAGCTTCATGTACAGTAAACTGACCTCAGAAAACAGTGCTGCTGATGTTGATGTACACGTAAAGAACGGCTTAAAATAGGCTCTCGAGCTTGTATTAGTGAAACTCACTTGGTGAGTTGGCCTTTGTTCTTGTTGTTGTCTACGCCGTTGTAAGTAACAGCCGCCAGCTTCCTACTGCGATAGTTCTCATAATGGACATTGTTAGTCACGTCCTTCAGATCCTGCATGTGAGTTCTGTGATTGAGGAGATACAAAAAACAAATAAATAACAGATTTATATCTCAGCATGTTCAGCTCAGACACACACACTACTGTTAAATAGCTTTTAGGTAAGATTTTTATTTATTTCTTATTTAGTTCTTTTGACCTTTCTGTTCAAAGAATCCAGATTTTTTTATATCATGCTTTCCACAAAAATATTAAGCAGCACAAGAGTTTTCAACATTGATAATAACGCATCTAAACCACATTTTAGAATGATTTATAATATCATTCATGAAAATTCAGCTTTGATATCATAGAAATTGCATTTGAAAATATATTCAAATAGGAAATAAAGTTTTTTTAAATAGTAAAATTTTTAAAAAAAATAATAAGTTTTAAATAGTAATAATATTTCACTGTTTTTACTGTAGTTTGGATCAAATAAATGCTGTTTTGGGGATAATAATAAGATACTACTTTAAATTTGTTTTAAAATCTTCCAGACCCAAAACTTTTGAACACTAGTGTATTACAGAAGGCAAGAGATCCTCCATCATCAGGTTTTAGTGCTTGTGTAGATTAATAATATACCTGATGAGCATGTTTCGTAGGATTGTGAAGTCACAGTGCTCCCCATTCTCCACTAAAAACAACAAAAAAGTATTAAAAGTGAATAAAGAAACATTGACAACATTACACTACAACATATTCTAATGCAAAATATATGAAGCAAAAGTTTGCACACAAAATACACACACTCTGTGTTTAATGCTCAATAATTCTCTAAAAAAACAAACAAAAAAACGTTATATACAGATAAAAGAAAGAATGCATGTTTTGACATGCTTTAAAGACAAAAAGATAAACCAAAAAGACAAAAACTAAACAAATAAAAACAAAAATAACCTACTCGTTTAAACAACAAGTGAACCAAACAAAATCCGTTCTGACACACACAAGGAACAAACTGGCATTCATCATTCCTGTGCTTCTGTAATGTATAAACTGACCAGCAGGTGGCACCCGATCTGGCACTGACTTGTGTATCCTGCTGCGTGTGCGTCACTTATCTTATGAATGTAGACCTCTCCTTCCTTCCCAACCACATGCCATCTGTGAGCTTACATGCTGCTGAAAGCATCTCAGGCATTCAAAACTCACCCTCTTAAAACAGATAACCCTTGCTTTCAAATACACTAATCAAACCCATGGCCTTCCTGCTCACACTGTCTAGAGCTCAGACACAATAACCCTGCTCACAGTACGGGTCGCTTGAGAGGATTTGGCCTGACAACACTGGTGTTATCAGAGGTTGAAGGCTTTAAAAAGAAGAGGAAGTCCGCCCTCGCATCAGCTTTGGTGAGCGAACGGATGAGACGGTCAAATCAGCATCCGATCTTCTGCTTGAAATGCATGAGCTCTGAAACATCGTCTACAAAGCTTCATTCATGCTCACATTTCATACTATCTTTGCAGCGTAACACGTGACGGGCCCTACAGGAGCTGCTCTCAATGAAACATCAAAAGACACACACTTCCTGTTTGCAGATCAACAGGCTTTCACTTTACGGCCCAACCCACTGAATAGCCTACTGTAGATAGTGTTGATCTCATGACCCTTACTTCAATAACTTCATTATGTCTTCCATTTCTAAACGTCACTTGTTTATTCTTTCAATTCAGTAAGAGGACTTAACTCGCACCAATGACGTTATACTGTGCATATTTTCTGAAACTAAAAATAATAAATCATCTCAAAACAATATTTGTTTATATTAATATTAAGTAATCATTTCAATGATTTAATGTCATGTGATTTTTATTAGGTTTGATTTTACATTGTTAGGATTTAATTAATGATTAAGGTAATTAATCATTAAAGTCCCAGTCCAGTTTGGAAAGCCGAGAATTGAATTATAAATACAATTATGATCTTAAAAAAAAAAAGAAACCTAAGTTTAATACAGTTATCAGGCATCACATTCATCTGCCTATGATATATGATGCATATAATGCTATTTTGAATGATGTCATCAAAAAGAAAATCATTATTGCTGGTTTTTACAAGAAATGATTTATATTTCACAATGATTCAATGGAGGATATACATCGTCTGGTGAATATTGTGTCACGAATGTCATTTATCATTTATCATATTCAAACTGCACAATAAGATGTACATCACTGTCCATATGGAACGGCAACAATAGCCGCCTTAGCAAACAACACTAATGAAGCCACACAACTACATTTAGCTCATCTCAGACTAAGCATCACTGTGTTATGGGAAAGATCTGCTGTGTACTAGAGTAGATCAACATCCTCAGGGTATGTCCTTCCCAACAAACTCACACAAACACACACAGACGTGTCTGGTTTACTATCTTTGTGAGGACCCTCCATAGAAATAGTGGTTTTTAATACTGTACAAACTGTATATTTTATCCCTACCCCTAATCCCATCACAGGAAACATTCTGGATTTGATAATTCTGTATAATTTATAGGCATGTTTACTCAATTTAGGTCCCCACAGTGACAAGAGTCCCCATGTGTCTGTGTGCGTTCAGGTTTAAGTCCTCACTGGGATAGAAAAACATGCACACACACACGGGGAGGTGACCTTTCACCCCCTACCTTCTGCCACGCCCCAGGGGTACTGCCTCCCTCGTACACGCTTCCCATTAACCTCGATGATGGTGTTACTGCCGACCACAGCCAGGGGCAGACGGTCCTGAGGGACAAAAACACACATACATGTAACATACAGACATGTGTAGAGAGAGACTGGAACGTCAGGTGGCTGATATTGACTCTTAATGGGTGTGTGTGTGTGTGTGTGTTAGAGAGAGAGAGAGAGAGTGTGTCTCTGTTTGACCTATTTCCCTGATGGGCTGAATTAGGGAGCCAATATTTGAGTAGTAAGTGCAATCTGAACAGGGTGAGTGAGTGAGTCTGTGAGTGACAGTTTATCGTTACATAAAACAAAATATATTGAAACTTAACTGAAATAAAATGAAATAAAAAGACTACAAAATTCATTCTTTTACTCGTGCTAACAAGTAGGGATGGGCAACGATTAATCGCGATTAATCGCATCCAAAATAAAAGTTTGTGTTTACATAATATATGGGTGTGTATGTATAATTAACTTGTATATATAAATACCCACACATGCATGCATATATTTAAGAAAAAATTGTTATTAATATATCAAATATTTATATTTATATATAATATTAATTACGTATAAATATATAAAATATATACATGCATGTGTGTGTATTTATATATACAAATTAATTATACACACTACATACACATATATTATGCAAACACAAACTTTTATTTTGGATGCGATTAATCACGATTAATCCCTTCTAACAAGCTATTTCAAACCACTAAAACAAACTCTAAGACATCTTCGCTTCAGCCAGATTTAGTATGAAATTAAATCACACTCATTGATTCTTAATTTAATTGAAAGTATATCAGAGCCTTAACAATATCTAATTATTCAAACAACCCACTATTTGGCCAATTTCAGTGTCAGACCGGACAATCGTGAACACACAAACCTTAATCTTCTTCACTAGCTTGCTCTCCTCCTCATCATCAGTCTCTGGAAACTCATAGATTTTGATCTTATGTTCCTGGATCTCTCTCATTATCTGGAAAAGGGACAGGATGAAAAATAAAAAACAAAATTGGTGCTGACAAGTAAAAAGACTTGGAATCTCCCAGCAAGTGTCACTGACGCTCAAGGGAGTCAGCAAACACCATGTGTGGACAGATTTATCGCTCGTGTTATGATGCGTTCTCACTGCCGCAGATGTTAAACTGTCCCACATGCATCATTTGAGACACCGGGAATGCTTTCATGCTGTTGTGATCTGACATAACTCCTGCATCTCTATGTAGGTCTGTTCATTAGTGAGGTCAGTCAATATCAACCTGAACAGAGGCTGAATGTTTGTTCATGCACATGCAAAAGGGATTATATAATGAAAACAACAAGATTTTTAGCTTTAGAGCAGGGGTGCCCAAACTTTTTCCTACGAAGGGAAAAAAATCAAACTTGATTGTGAGCCGTGGGCCAAAAGTAAATTTTGCATCATAAATCAAACGGTATTACATTAAAGTTGCTATGGGTTTATTTGTTTTATAATATTTAAAATAAATATAAAACAACTTCAATCTGATTAACTAATGCAGTTTTATTTGTAAAGTTTTGCATTTTAAAGAAATCCCCTCTCCCCGGACGGTATGGCGGGCCAAATCAAAGGCCCTAGTTCGGGCATCTCTACTTTAGAGGATGGGGACATGGTGGCCATAAAGGGATGGACATGGTCAGAAACAATGCTCAGGTAGGCCGTGGCATTTAAATGATGCCTAATTGGGGCCTAAAGTGTGCCAAGAAAACATCCCCCACACCATTACACCACCAGCACCAGCCTGCACAGTGGTAAAAGGCATGATGGATCCATGTTCTCATTCTGTTTACGCCAAATTCTGATTCTACCACCTGAAATCGAGACTCATCAGACCAGGCAACATTTTTCCAGTCTTCAACTGTCCAATTTTGGTGATCTCTTGCAAATTGTAGCCTCTTTTTCCTATTTGTAGTGGAGATGAGTGGTACCCGGTGGGGTCTTCTGCTGTTGTAGCCCATCCGCCTCAAGGTTGTGCGTGTTGTGGCTTCACAAATGCTTTGCTGCATACCTCGGTTGTAACGAGTGGTTATTTCAGTCAAAGTTGCTCTTCTATCTGCTTGAATCAGTCGGCCCATTCTCCTCTGACCTCTAGCATCAACAAGGCATTTTCGCCCGCAGGACTGCCGCATACTGGATGTTTTTCCCTTTTAACACCATTCTTTGTAAACCCTAGAAATGGTTGTGCGAAAAAATCCCAGTAACTGAGGCCATGTCCACACTAATACGTTTTCGTTTGAAAACGTATATTTTTTTCTCCGTTTTGGCCTTCCGTCCACACTGAGACGCCGTTTTAAGTCAACAAAAACGTATCGTTTGGAAAACGCTCTCCAAAGTGGATAAATTTGAAAACGCCGTTTTCGCGTTGTAGTGTGGACAGTGAAACCGGGAGTATTTCAAAACGATGATGTAAGTTTAGTCATGTGATCCATGTAGTACCAATAGATATTCATGTTTAATGGGCATTGTGCCTGTTATGTGTTATTCATTTTAATACTGTTGCTAAAATATGTTACTTTCTATGTTACTTAATATGTGCTATTCTTCATAGCACAGTACTGCAAAGATGGCAGATAATGTACTCACATTTGCTGTCCTGCGGCAAAACAGGAGTTGCGTTATAGACCAAATATGGTGACTGAATGCGACCTGGATGCATCAGTGATGGTGAGATATTTTGCTAAATAAAATGATCCCGTTAGAAGATTGCGCGATAACTTTATTATCTATTTCCCCCTTTGTAACGTCTCAGTGAGCTTTTGTGAAGTTTCACGCATGCGCAGTAAAGCGAATTTAGAAGTTTCTCATCCACACTGAAACGTCAGAAAACGCCTGAAAACACTAGTGTGGACGGAGAGCGTTTTTAAACGAAAACCCCGTTTTCAAATGTATCCGGATTAATGTGGACGTAGCCTGAGCAGACGTAGCCGGCCCGTCTGGCACCATTCACCCTTCTTTCCCATTCTGACATTCAGTTTGGAGTTCAGGAGATCGTCTTGACCAGGACAAGAAGCCTTGTTATACAGTAAGTGTATAATAGCACACTCACCTGCTTCTTGAACTGTTGGCACTCCTCTGGAGTCAGCGTGTCTGCTTTTGCGATGAGCGGGATGATGTTCACTTTTTCATGTAACCGTTTCATGAACTCAATATCCAGTGGTTTCAGTCTGACAGACAGAGAGAGAGAAGAACATGAGGGTTTAACGTTTCAAACTAAACACCGAGAATGAGTCCAAAAACAGCTGCAAAGGTCTCCTCTGTAGTGCAGTGGTGAGGTATCACATTCACACTGCCGTTTGGCAGCTTGGCTGAACTTGTGACTCGGCTCGCAGTAAAGGCAATAAATAAATGGCAGGATGTTCATTTGTGCTTGTCCACTCAGGCCAGTATAACTTTCACAGATGTAGCCATTACACACACAACATGCACGTTGGATTCTCATCAGCAGGTGAAATGGTGTTTTTTTGTTCTCGATTCAATTAAAAGTTTCAATAGGTTGACATTCTGAGGAACTGTGGGTAGGATTTCAAAGGAAGGATTAGTGATTTTTGGCATTTCATTCTCTGAGAAACGCTTGTGTGCAGCATATGGTGCCTTTCTATGCATTGCAAAACTAACCACTAAGGTACTGGGGACATCTGATTGGTTGCCAAGACATTGCTATGGGTTCGCTAAGGTGTTCTGACTGATAGTTAAGATCGTTAATATGTGGTTTCTATGGTGTTCAGAGTAGTATTTAAGTGTGCTAATGTGGTTTTTAGCACTTTGCTATGTGGTTGTAGACTTTGTACTTCCACTCTCAGTCTGAGAATGCGACATGTCTCTTCGTTTTCCTCCGGCCTAAAAACAGCTGGCTCAATCAACGAACAGAGGGCGGGCTGAGAGCTGTGACGTAGGCACTAAGTGTCAAAATCAAAAAATGGAGACACGGGATGCAATTCCCTCTGTTGTAGAGAATATTCCCAGTATTTGAGTAACTCGGTCTCTTTTATGTGTCGAGCTCGAACTAGCACCCTTTTGACAGGTCAGGTCAGTGTCAATATTGCCATGTAATCTAGCAATTAAGTTGCAGCATATCCGACAGACTCGAGATGACTTAACAGAACTAATCCCAACTTTGACAGTTGGCTGCAAACATTTTCTTGTTTCTCTCTACTGTCAAATATTAGTTAAGAGTTAAGATTTCGCTTGAAGGTTTTGTTTTCGCATCAAATAACTTATGTGTTTACAGGTTTAGTTCGATGCAGCTGAGCTGGCACATAACCAAACGTTTTATGATTGGCTTACTGGTAACCAATGATTTTATACTTCAGACAAGCGCCCCCTCACGATAAAGAAAACACTTTTCAATGATGCCACTCCAGACTCTGTCTACAAAGCAAAGCGAAGTAACAGAGTTTGGTCTTACCAGGCTAATGTGGATGTGAAATGGCCCAAAATAGGACATTCAAACTAAACACCACCAAACAATCCAAAAAAAAACACACCAAATAACAACAAAAACACCAAAACCCCCCCCAAAAAAACAAATCAACTGAACCAAAAACAACAAAACAACATGTCTCATCATTTTGAGACATTAAATAGGGTTAGGAACTTCAAATTCAAAACCTCAAGTATGGGCAACAGTAAACTGCCTGACAAACACAGCTAAATATCTTGACTTTTAATATGACTTTTCAGGTTTTATTATGACTTCGAGGATGTGAAGACAAAAACAGTCAGAGCATGACTTCAAGCCAGAGAAAGTTTTAGGACAGATAATATTTTTTTATTACCACCGAATGAGTACAAGATTTTACTTATAAAACAAGTAATCTGACGGCAACTTAGTCTGAAAACGCTGACAGTGCAATAAATCCTAATGTGCTTGGCATCACTTTAGAGCTCACTTCTAAAAGCCCCTCCATAGCAAAAGAAAAGCACAAGCAGAATATACAGAATGTGTGTGAAGGCTTAAAACAGAGTGCCTTACCCATGACCAGAAGGAGCGATGAAGTACAGACAGCAGTGCACTCGGCTGTCGGGCATCTGGCGTCTGTTGACGCGTGACTCCGCGTTGAGGTAATCCTCAAATTTGCTGTCAATGTGGTCGGTGACAGGCTGCCAGCTACAGAACACATAATCAACATAGAGTTAACAATGAAATGTAATATAAACAAATTAGCCATCCCTCGTTTATTAACAACAATATGAGGAGAATGTCAGCTGTTTAGTAAGTAAGTGCCAGATCATCTGAAATGCATCCCGACACTAGATATCTTCAAAAAAACAAAAACAAATTGTGGTTAATTCAGAAACAGTGTTGTTCGCATATTTAGTTCTTGTCGACTCTGCCTTTTTTGTAATTTTTTTTTTTTTTGGCATTTATATTATATTCCATTATTTTTCTCTCTATTAGTATATTTATTCTTGTACTGCATTTTATCAAAAAGCCCTTATTGTTTTGTATTGCTCATGTATTGCATTTTACTAAAAAAGCCCTTCTAGGGACTAATGTTGTAAATTAGCTTTGGCTAAAAACATTGATACATGCATCAGATCACTGTCAAAGTGTATCTATGTTATCTGTATCTGTCCCTATCTAAATAAACTATAATAATAATAAGTAAGTTAACTTTATTTATATAGCACTTTTCACAGACATGTAGGGTCACAAAGTGCTTCACAGTAAAAAACAAATAATAAAAGAAATAAAAACCACAACACACATTACAACACCACCATATAGCTAGTTAAAAGCTTGTCTAAAAAGATGTGTCTTAAGGTGTTTACTAAAATTTTCTACAGAGTCCAAAGCTCTCAAGGCTAATGGAAGAGAGTTCCACACAAAACGCACGATCACCTCTTGTTTTAAGACGTGTTCTAGGAACAGTAAAAAGGTCTTGGCCTGAAGACCTCAAGGAGCGACCGGGAGAGTGAATGTGAAAAAGGTCCTGGATGTAAGAAGGAGCTTGACGGTGGAGGGCTCTGTAGGTAATGGTTAAAATTTTAAACTGCACTCTAAAACTAATTGGGAGCCAATGAAGGGCCTTAAGCACAGGAGTGATATGTGATCTTCTGTTTGTCTTTGCCAAAAGTCTTGCAGCAGCATTCTGTACAACTTGCAGTTTATCCATGAAGGATTTGTTTAAGCTGTTTACACACGAGATGCAGAAAATACACCAAAACACACGTACCAGTTACTGTTATCAACGGCATCTCCGAAGCCTGGTGTGTCCACAATGGTGAGCAGCAGTTGAACTCCACCCTCTTTAATTAGCACCTTGGACTGCTCCACCTGACAAAAAAACATGACAACATAAGTCACATGACCAACAGAATTTGCAACAATGAATTAAATCACTAAATCATAAAAAGCATCACTAAATCATACAACTTAAGGGCAGTGTTGGGTGTAACTAATTACTAAGTAATCAGTTACTGTAATTTAATTACTTTTCCCTTGAAAATGTGAAGTAAGGGATTACTCTTCATTTATCAGTAATTAAATTACAGTTACTTCTGATGTAATTGAGGTAAACACTGTGTCCGATCTCACAGCGATTCGTATGCATTTTATGAGGTGTCTAAATTGTATGACCGCACTCGTATAAATTCGTATAAATTATTGTAAAATATGTATGAAAAAAGTGTGAAATGTCATGAGATCAGAAATAAAACAATAGTGGGTTTAACATCAAAATGTATTGTCTGATGCTAAAAAGTATGTTTTTATAATGTAACCTTCTCAACCTTGGTCAGTTTAAGGATAATTCATACAATTTTATAGTATTTATTTGAAAGAATTAAAACAGATTCATGTCTATCCTTGTATTATTCAGCTGGTTGAGATTGATATGGGATTTTGAAAGTAATTAAAAGTAATTAAATACTTTTTAGAGAGAGTAATTAGTACAGTAATCTAATTACACTGTTGAAGAGGTAATTAGTAACTAGTAATTAATTACTTTTTTAGAGTAACTTACCCAACACTGCTTAAGGGGTTACTTCACCTCTGGAGAGATGTATGTGTATTTAAAATGGGTCAATTATGTAGAAGAAATGTGCATTTAGCAGATACCTACAGATATCTCAAATAAAGTTGAGAAATCTAGTCTTACTCTTCCATCAATGAGAGGAAATTCTAAGCCCTTTAAACATTCTCAAACAGTCCGAGCTCAACAGATTCAGCCCACATGTGTGTAACCTCAGCTAAAACAAGCGCAAGCCCACACCTTTCCATGTGCACCATAAAGCGACTGTGGTCTGAGACTGTGGGTTCTGGGTTTTGGTTGTTCAGGGCTGCATTTTATGATTTCCTCCAAAACGGCCCTCCACATTCCACAGCTCGGACGGACACCACTAAGCCAAGTGCAGGACATTCATTTCATGAAGCACAACCCCCAAAAAAGAAATGTGGCCAACGCCGTCTTCCAAGCAACACTTATCCTGAACCGTGGCTGTTTTTAGAGAGCGTGCAAGTTCAAACTGATGACATCTGTCCTTCATGTTGTGTGTTAAGAGTTCATGTTGAGAAGTTGATTGCTTTTAAAATGATCTATTGCCAATTATTTCAACAACTATCAGGTAAACAAAGATATAATTGTTATAATTGCAGTAATTGTTGTATCAACTATCTGATTAAATAGTGACGTATACAATCTTTGTATTGTCCATCGGCCACACTGCTCTTTAAAGGGATACTCCACTTTTTTTGGAAATAGGCTCATTTTACCACTCCCTCAGAGTTAAACAGTCGAGTTTTATTGTGTTCGAATGTGTTCAGGCGATTTTTTGATATTTAGCAGAATATCAGTAACCAGACAGTTTCTGGTCTCATTGACTTCCATAGTATATTTTTTTCCTACTATGGAAGTCAATGAGACCAGAAACTGTCTGGTTACTGATATTCTTCTAAATATCAGAAAATCGGCTGAATGGATTCGAACACAATAAAACTCGACTGTTTAACTCTGGGGGAGTGGTAAAATGAGCCTATTTCCAAAAAAAGTGGAGTATCCCTTTAAGATATTGGCATTGGCCATCAAAAAACAAAGAAAAAAACCTATTATTTCCACGTAAATATCCTCACAAAAGCACTGGATGGCTTATTTGAGATATTTAGAATGAAAAAGGGCAGCGTGAACATTCTTCAAAATTTCTTTATTGTTTTCCATGGAAGACAGACAATTTGGGTGAATATCCTCTTGCTAAACACACTCTCACTCCCTCAGGCAACATAATAGCCTACCAAGGGAAAAAAAAAAACACGCAACATGAGAGCAAACGGACTACGTCTCTTTCTTCTAAGACGAGGAGTTGTTTTGGAAATCTTTAGCTCTATCTGAGAGGCCATGGGGCTGTTTTGGAAACATGAGAAACAAGATGCTCAAAGCAGGCGTATGTGCAGCCACAATGTGTCATTCAGTAAATTACCAACTCCATAGAACCAGGAAAAAAAAAAAAAAAAACAAGTAGAAATGATTTTAGGGCTAGGAATTTAAGAGAAATTGCTCTCAGGAGGTCGTCGGCTCTGGAATGCAAAGTGTTTTTCCAGGCGAGCGTGACGATGCCTGCTGCCGCACACCTGCTGCTGGGCGTGTGGCGGATTCCTGTGTGCTTTACTGTCTGTGGTCATCAGGTGACCTCAGATTCGCCAAACTACACTGGTTTGGTGAGCTTTTCACACACGTCTTGTTGTGATCTCAACGAGTACTCGCCCACATGCATCATATCAGAGCCCGTCTAACGGAGAGCCTTGGCACTTCCTATTGTGCATCACCTTGGTTGCAGTTCCATTAGAATTCCACTGGAGGTGATCGCGGGCGAGAGCAGAATGAATGGGAGTCTATGGGGCTAAACGGCTAAATGTGTCTTTCACCTGCTTGTCGTTAAATCAAAATAGATTTTATTGTTGATTCTGCAAATTCAATATAGATTATATGCCAAAAGTCAAATGAACGAGTACTTATGTCCTTTTGATTTCTTACAGGTTAGGCTGTTGTTGGCCGGAACACGCTAGCATTCATCATACTGCTGACCTCTGACCTTTAATGCTGATTAAAAAAAAGCAGAGAACTGCGTATCTATAAAATCCAACAAGAACATGTAAATCCTGTTCTTAAAGACATGTTGCATGATTTGATGGACTGATATATGGTTGAGCAATGTCATTGTAGCAAGCAGGGAGGGTGGTGTCGAGTCCGACGGAGGAACTCCGGAAGGATAAAATGAGGAGGGACGACATGGAATGACGAGAGAGGATTTTTTTTTTTTATGCGGCAGTCGTCCTTGACGGGCTGCCACTTTTGTTTTGTTGTTTGTTTATTTGGTGATTAAAGTTATGTTGAACGTTTGCTGGCCCCCGCCTCCTTCCCTTATCAACAAACCTTTGTTACAGCCATTAAATTGACTGCCCTAGCATAACTATTTAAAAGCACATTATTCTTTGGCTGGACATGAACATTTTACAAATGTTCAAGACAAAAAACAATTCCACTATATCATTTTGTTTTGTTTAGTTTGAGTGCTGACATGGCACTAAAACAGGCACCCACAGAGGTGTACCGCAGAACATTTGGGGTGAAGTTTGGGTTGGCATGCCAACATTGGAGCTTATAAATAGCATGTGCAAAGACAGACAGCACTTTAAGCAAGGTGACTTGCTCACCACCTGCCTATAATATGGTGCAAACGAGATACCTTACCCTCAGTAACAAACCCATCGTTTTCTCTTAACTTCCTCCATCTGTACAGCAGACCACATTGGTTTCCATCAGACACGTACTACTCCATTTCATCACAACAGTTCGTCTCTCAGAAATAAAAAAACAATACAAACCACAATAAAAAGTAGTTAACTGTCTGAGAAACAGGGAAAAGTTTCCCCCCTTGCACTTGCATCTGACTACTGCACAAATATACAACCTATTGGTCCGGTGTTGACAAAGTTTGTTAGCAGTAAGAGAGTGAAAAGGAAAAACTAGTCATTGAATTTTCTGAAGCTTGTGAAGTTCAAAGCATCAAATCTAACACATTATTGAGATATTTAAGAAAAGCAGTTGAAGATGGCGTCCTACGTGGGGCTAATATCCATTGGCACTGAAGTAACCTTCAAAGCAGAAGCTAGCTGGTACAAGCTAGCGGGTACACATTTCAAAAAGGGTGCACTTCCCTGAGAAAGGTCTAATTCCTTTTGATAAATTGAGTCTAGCTGACTCCTTTCAACAAATGAGGTATTTTGGTTGAAGTAAAGTGCTCTCAATAGGGCTGGCAACTAGGGTTGGGTATCGTTTGAATTTGAATGATTCTGATTCCGATTCCTCGTTTCGATTCCGGTTCCTAACGATTCTCGATTCCGATTCTTTTAAGAGGCAGGGTCAAAAAAGTTTAACTAACCTTGCTAACCAATGGCCTTTCTGAAGGAAATACTCCTTCTGTAAAAATACTCCTTTTGTCACAAATTTTGCATTTTGCCGAGACTTCGTTATTTTTAGAAAAGTGAAGCCACACTTTACGTTGGACCGCCGACGTAAGGTACTCATGTTCGACTCGCGTGGTTATGCCAACACTTCCGATAGACGCTTCTTCGTTGGTGTTGTTCAGCGGTTTCTTCTTCCGCTCGGCGGACTGTGAATTTCGAAACTAGGAAATCTAAATTTTAACTTTTGAACGATTCCGGGAAAAACGAAAAGTTAGTCTCGGTTCCAATCGATACTCGATTCTCGATACCCAACCCTGGAACACCGTAGGAGGCCATTTACAAAGAACATATTTGCAAGATGCGAGCTGTGGAATGGAAAAAGGTAGTTTTAAAACTAAGTTGAACGTAACATTGTTTTCTACATGGCTAGATGCATGTCTGACCATTGTGCTTGTGTATTTTGTGAAATCTCATTTAAAAAAATAAAGCAGTGCTCAAGTCAAAGCAAGTCCAACAAGTCTCAAGACCTCACACGTTTTTTTCGGAGTTCTCGCAACTCCGAAAAAACACAATCTATTAATTTCAAGGCATTGAAACGTGCAGAGAACAAAACAAAAATGTAACCAACGTTTTGATCCAATGCAGTTTAGAATTTTTTGAGCAATAAGAATATAAGACAGGCGGGTCCAGTTGTGCTTTTGGAAATACAATTAGCTGTATTCTAGTTTCTATTTTTCCATGCCCTTTAAAAAAAGGATCACACACACTCACTACTACTCTCAGTATGACTACACTGCAAACATCACATCTTGTTCTGATGAATTTAAGTAGAAATCAGAGTGATATGGTTCCTGTACAAATTGGAAGACCAAAAA